TTGGAGGAGCACCACACAAGATGGTGTCAATACTTTCGAATTAGCCCGACTGCATACCAAGGCAGACAAGCACCAACGCCGGAAAGACGCTGTCGCCGCCCCTCCCGCACTAGATGTAGCCCTCTACTCTGCCGGACCCGTATCGGCATATTTACTCACCTCAGAACTCACCAGCGAAGGTGACATCCTAAATAACTTATATCATTGTATCATAGCTGGATGATCTTTATACTCGATTCCGAGTGACAGCAAAGTAGTAGTAGTAGTGTGTAAGAAGACACTATTAACTTACAAGATTATATTTTCTTTGGGTAAAAAAAGTCTTGAAAGTAGGTACGAGTAGTTACAGTTGGGTACAAGTTGTCTTAGATAAAAGTTCTTATAAACCCGACAAGTTACTATACAAATATCAGTCGGATTTATAAACAGGTAATGGATTATCCCCTCAGTGGAAGTAATAAACTGGCCTGAACTAACATTAATGAATCCTTTCCCCAAAACTACGTGCACCCGAGCTTGTATCTTATGGGTCTTGGTCATAATTTATAATATCTTTAGTAATGCAACAAGATATAGTTTGTAATGTATGAGGTCTTGCTTCGAGGTAACAACAGTTCGCATCATTGTCCAACATTTCCAGGAATATATGTCGCCAGTGAGACACGACGCACCAGATATGGAGTGGTTAGTTGATAGACATACGAAGTAAATATCTGGAAATAGATTGATAGAGGTAGACTAATTGATAGAACGGTAGATTGAGGCAGGGGTGATTAGATAGATATAGATAGCTAGATGGATGGAGAGAAATATAGAGAAGGGAGCAAAGGGGAGAGAATATGTGTGAGGGAGAGGGTTAATGAAGGGGTAGATGAGACGAGGAAATATGAAAATATCGTTAATGTAAAGGTGCAATCTCCTAAATCAGTGACACCAAACACGATGGCTGATATGTGTCGCACGTCATAGTAACTGAAGTGTCTTGTATGAATTTAAGGCGCTCATTTATCAGGTTCCCATAAAGAGACAGTATAGATGAGCAATGTTTGGTCAAGGACTGTGTGTGTGTGTGTGTGTGTGTGTGTGTGTGTGTGTGTGTGTGTGTGTGCGTGTGTGTGTGTGTGGGTACTTTGGCCTTACCCGGGTGCTGTACCAAGAAATACCAAACCCACACCGGCGTATATTCCCCTAGTTTCTTAAGATGGCGTATAATCCTGATAGCGTATATTACAATTTATTAGTACTGATTTTTATTAACAATAGTGCTGTAGGTGCTGCGTAAAAAGAAAATAAAAGTATTCAAAACATCTATTTATCATTATTGTCAAGCGAAATTACGTCTAGAAATCATATCCACCAATCAGCTCCATCGTTACAGGACTTACTACTGGTTCATTCATCGGTTTACTCTAGTAGAGGGGTAAAGGAACTCTGAGGCAACTGTACTTGTGTAATACTTCCCACGTCACCTCTTTAACTTTTCTATCATGCTTTTATTCTAGATCCATGAATGTCGTGGATTCTTTCCCTTCTACGGACAATTTTCATTCATGTTATTAACGTAGAAAGTCGAACCACGTATTAACTGTCTTTTCTGAACATATTCTCTTGTTCCTGGAATACTGTCTCTATTTTTCCTACAGTTCTCTCGGTAATATGGTATCTGCCCCCGTCCAGCCCCTGTACTGTTCTTCAATCACTTCCATATTGGGATATACTACACGTCCTGGGATTATAACTGCCATCTGTAATGCCTGGTAGTACAGTGTTATTGGGGTGACGGTATTGGCCCTAACAAGCTCCAGGAGAATACAACAGAGTTATTACCCTTGATGTGGCCCCAAATAACACGAATTAACCGATAGACAACAACTGCTCCTTTTATAAGAGAATATAGGAGGTAATTAACAGAGCTCACTCAACACGTCTGGCGCGAGTGAGATACAGGGGTTAAGTCCACTGAGGGCTGGGCACTTGGTGTATTATTATTATTGTTGTTGTTTGTAATATATTCTCTCTCTCTCTCTCTTTTATTTTTGTCTGTCTATTTAAGTATTTTTCCTCTTCCTTTTCTCAACCATTTCAGTTCCCTTCTTCATAAGTTAGTGACGACCTCTACCGCTTGACTTTCCTTCTAATATTCTTGTAACACACACACACACACACACACACACACACACACACACACCTCAGCTGCCCCTCCTAATATGGCACTCTTGATCTGTCCCCATTCTTCTTCATCAGCACAGTGAGAGAGAGAGGTGTTACTTTATTGTTGTAGTGTTGGTGATTGTTGGTGAGGGTTGGTGGTGACTGACTGTAGGTGATGACTAGTGTTGGTGAGGGGTGTTGGTTAATTGGCACGGGGGGGGGGGAGGGTTGGGGAAGAGGGAGGGAGATTAATTTATTTAATTTTGCTACTTACAGCGGCTAGTTTATTGTGCATCCTATACTCATCCTGTGAGCGGTAGCGCAAAAGGATTACAGAGTAGAGTTCACAAAGGGTCTGTATAACTAACCCCCGTGGTTAGGATATTATGGTATTGATTGTTACAGAGTATTCCAAATATTCTTTGTTTAATTCTGTACATAATGGGTAACTTATTCACAGCTGCGTGAGTACAGGAGTGTGAGGCAGTATGTCTGGCCGCACACTTTGTTATTCACATTTGCGTGAGAGGTATTCTGGCATATTGTGTGTTTGGTTCTATACATGGGAACTGATATAGCTACTAAGTGCAAAAAGGTGGATACAATCTTAATATGTCGGCTATCTTGGCATTAGAGATAAAGTGTTGTACCATTTCACACACAGTGTGCTTGGACCTGTCCCTAAAAGGTTCTATCTTCACACAGTCGAGGACATAGTGTTCAAGAGAGGGAGGGAGGGGAGGGAGGGAAGGGGGAGGACCCACCACCTTCTGGTTCAGGAAATATGACCCGCATCCCCCGCCTTGACTAGTGCTACTGTCCCTCCTCCTCTCACTGTACTGCCGCACACACTCTTCTCTCTTGTGTCTGTTTCTGTCTCTGTCGGTCTCTCTCTTTGTCGATCTGTGTGTGTGTGTGTGTGTCTTTCTCTGTCTGTCTGTTTCTGTGTCTGTCTGTCTGTCTGTCTCTCTACGCCATACAGGTGATATAAGTTGGTAGTTACAGGTGTTTCACGATACACCGCAGTGAGTGTGTCTACTGTACATGCTCTTACACACACACACACACACACACACACACACAGTCTGACGGAGTATAATCAATAGCGTTAAGGTGAACGTGTGTGTGTGTGTGTGTGTGTGTGTGTGTGTGTCAGATCTTTAACACACTGTACCCCTCATCTACATAGTGTATACATAGTGTTTCTCGACCTGTTATTATCCTTAGATCAAATTAGCCACCATAACGCTACCTGTGGAGGAATTTGGTTAGGTTATGTTAGGTTAGGTTAGTTTAGGTTAGGTTAGGTTAGGTGCTTCGTGTTCTTGTTTTTCTTCTACTTGTTGTTGTTCTTCTTCTGTTATCATTCTCTTTCATCTCCTAAATTACTAATCATTTCTCCCTCTCATCTTTATATTCTCATTTCCTAGTAACTATCATTCGCTTGGAGAGAGAGAGAGAGAGAGAGAGAGAGAGAGAGAGAGAGAGAGACATTATATATTTTACTGAGAATTATTGTTACATTACCCGGTACTTCAGGAAACATCACAAGCCTCCAAACTAAATTTTTTTTTATCATAATTTTTGCCACTGTATGAAAATGGTTAAAGAATCTCCACCCCAGCTTATTTCACTTAGATAATCACCCTAATGCTAACCTAACCTAACCTAAGCTAATCTTACCTAACCTAACCTAACCTAACCTAACCTAACCTAACCTAATCTTACCTAACCTAATCTAACGCTAACCTAACCTAACCCCCAAATAGCCTTAGGGTGGTTAAACTTTAGGTGAAATAAGCTGGGGTGGAGATTCTTCAGGTGATCCTCTACTAAACACAAACTTGTTTTAAAATAATAAGTAAAAAAAGTGAAAAATAAATAAATTAAAATACGTGTAAAATGGATCTCTGAGTTAAATCATGGTTAAGCAATCACGAACTATCACAAAGTCCAAGAGGTGTTTCAAGTAAATATTTCTTGCACCTGTCTCCTGCACCTGTCTCCTGTATTTGTCTCCTACACCTGTCTCCTTCACCTGTCTCCTGCACCTGTCTCCTGCACCTGTCTTCCACCTGTCTCCTACACCTGTCTCCTCCACCTGTCACCTGCACCTATATATTAAATGACCTAGAAATAGTCCCCATCCACTCCTCCCCACCCCTCCCACCCCTCTCCACCCCCTACCCACCCCCTCCCCACCCCTACCCCACCCCCTCCCACCCTACCCCTCTCCACCCCTCTCCACCCTCCCCACTCCCCTCCCACCCCCTCCCCACCCCTCCCACCCCTCCCCCCTCCCCCACCCCCCCTCTCTCTCTCTCTCTCTCTCAGTTGATGCTTAAATCCTAATGTTACCTAATAATTATTAGGTTAGGTTAAGGTTAGGTTAGGTTAGGTAGCGTTGGGGGGGGGTTAAGCTTAAAGGTGGATATAAGTTGGGGTGGCTAATCCTCAGGTGATCCGATGAGCCAAGACCTGGTGACACAAGGTAATTTAGCCAACCCAACCCAACCGATTTAAACCACTACACCAGATGAGTCTTGAAGCTCTCAAACCACGACAGTTGTGTACGTGTGTGACAGCCTCGTGACGTGTACTGTACCTGATAACTGAACACACCGGGGGGATGACTTTTATGTAACCTGTGTGCGTGTGTGTTGTTGCAGGAGTGTTGTGTATAACTTATGTGTGTGGTGTTGCAGGAGTGTTGTGTATAACTTATGTGTATGGTGTTGCAGGAGTGTTGTGTATAACTTATGTGTATGGTGTTGCAGGAGTGTTTTGTATAACTTATGTGTGTGGTGTTGCAGGAGTGTTGTGTATAACCTATATGTATGGTGTTGCAGGAGTGTTGGCCTGGGAGGTGAGGGAGGACTTCTACGGTGCGGGGGTCGAGAATCCTGAGGTGTCTTGGGGCCAGAAGAAGGAGGTGAAGAGAGTCCAGCCGCCTAACCACGACTTGGGTGAGTTAACAGACGCCATCTTTCTCCATACAAAACAAAACAAAAAAACAACATAAAAAGATTTGGGTGTTGCTATAGTTGGGTGTTGCTATAGTTGGGTGTTGCTATAGTTGGGTGTTGCTAGAGGTACAGTAATTTCCATAGTGTTGTCAAAGTAGTTTATGAATTTTACATTGTAGTTCAATTCAAATATTTCCCAATAGTAACATAATTGAGAATTCTTATACCTTAATTTTAAAGTAGAAATGAGAGAGAGTGAGAGTGGATCAAAGCGAGGAAGGAAGGAAGGATGTGTGTGTGGGTGGGTTAGTTGTGGGAACCAGACGTTTATGTGGAGTTGTGTGGGTGTCAGACGTGTGGGCGGGATAGTGTAGGCGTGTCAGACGTGTGGGGTGGAATAGTGTGGGCCAGAGAGTGTGTGGGCGACATAGTGTGGGCGTCAGACGTGTTTGTGGTTGGTTGGGGTAAGTGTAGGCGGGGTGTACCTGCTGAACGCTCTGGCCCTTCTGCTTTAAACTCCGGCACAAAACACACACACACACGGGGGTGGTGGGTGGGGTGGGGTGGGGTGGGGTGGGGTGGGGTGGGGTGGGGGGCGTTTCCTGTGGGTCATCCTCCGTGCCTTTTGTTTTGGGTGAGAGGTCAAGAGGTCAGACATTCATTTGACCTTAGACGACACAGTCACAGTCTTACGTTACTCCGTGTTAGGATGGGGGTGGTGTTGGCAGGGTGTTGGCAGGGTGGTGTAATAACTGATGGTGGTGGTGGTGTTGGCAGGTGTTGGCAGGGGTAATAACTGATGGTGGTGGTGGTGCTGGCAGGGTGGTGTAATGACTGATGGTAGTGTGTGGCAGGGTGGTGTAATGACTGATGGTGGTGGTGGTGGTGTTGGCAGGGTGGTGTAATAACTGATGGTGGTGGTGCTGGCAGGGTGGTGTAATAACTGATGGTGGTGGTGGTGTTGGCAGGGTGGTGTAATGACATGGTAGTGGTGTTGGCAGGGGGTGTAATGACTGATGGTGGTGGTGGTGGTGTTGGCAGGGTGGTGTAATAACTGATGGTGGTGGTGGTGTTGGCAGGTGGTGTAATAACTGATGGTGGTGGTGGTGTTGGCAGGGTGGTGTAATGACCGATGGTGGTGGTGGTGTTGGCAGTGGTGTAATGACTGATGGTGGTGGTGGGTTGGCAGGGTGGTGTAATGACTGATGGTGGTGGTGTTGGCAGGGTGGTGTAATAACTGATGATGGTGGTGGTGGTGTTGGCAGGGTGGTAATAACTGATGGTGGTGGTGGTGGTGTTGGCAGGGGTGGTGTAATAACTGATGGTGGTGGTGGTGTTGGCAGGGTGGTGTACTGATGGTGGTGGTGTTGGCAGGTGGTGTAATGACTGATGGTGGTGGTGTTGGCAGGGTGGTGCAATAACTGATGGTGGTGGTGTTGGTGTTGGCAGGGTGGTGTAATAACGATGGTGGTGGTGGTGTTGGCAGGGTGGTGTAATAACTGATGGTGGTGGTGGTGTTGGCAGGGTGGTGTAATGACTGATGGTAGTGGTGTTGGCAGGGTGGTGTAATGACTGATGGTGGTGGTGGTGGTGTTGGCAGGGTGGTGTAATAACTGATGGTGGTGGTGGTGTTGGCAGGGTGGTGTAATAACTGATGGTGGTGGTGGTGTTGGCAGGGTGGTGTAATGACTGATGGTGGTGGTGGTGTTGGCAGGGTGGTAATGACCGATGGTGGTGGTGGTGTTGGCAGGGTGGTGTAATGTGTGGTGGTGTTGGTGGTTTAACAACTGATGATGGTGGTGGTGGTGTTGGCAGGGTGGTGTAATAACTGATGGTGGTGGTGGTGGTGTTGGCAGGGTGGTGAATGGTGGTGGTGGTGTGGCAGGGTGGTGTAATTGATGGTGGTGGTGTTGGCAGGTGGTGTAATGACTGATGGTGGTGGTGCTGGCAGGGTGGTGTAATAACCGATGGTGGTGGTGTTGGTGTTGGCAGGGTGGTGTAATAACCGATGGTGGTGGTGGTGTTGGCAGGGTGGTGTAATAACCGATGGTGGTGGTGTTGGCAGGGTGGTGTAATGAGATGGTGGTGGTGTTGGCAGGTGGTGTAATAACTGATGGTGGTGGTGTTGGCAGGGTGGTGTAATAACTGATGCCGGTGGTGTTGGCAGGGTGGTGTAATAACTGATGGTGGTGGTGCTGGCAGGGTGGTGTAATAACTGATGGTGGTGGTGTTGGCAGGGGTAATAACTAATGGTGGTGGTGGTGTTGGCAGGGTGGTGTAATAACTAATGGTGGTGGTGGTGTTGGCAGGGTGCAATAACAATGGTGGTGGTGGTGTTGGCAGGGTGGTGTAATAACTAATGGCAGTAGTGTTGGCAGGGTGGTGTAATAACTAATGGTGGTGGTGTAATAACTAATGGCGGTGGTGTTGGCAGGGTGTAGCTGCTCGCCGGAGGTATTGGGGTGCCGGGACGAGACAGGAGTGTGTATGTGCGTGGACAAACACCTCGTCTGCAATGGGGAGGTTGACTGTCCAGGAGGAGAGGATGAGGTAGACTGCAGCCCAAACCAGTGTACAGGTGAGTCAGTCTCGCCCTAAGCTCATTGTTTACATTATAGGTTCATAGGTGAGTCAGTCTCGCCCCTAAGCTCATTGTTTACATTATAGGTTCATAGGTGAGTCAGTCTCGCCCCTAAGCTCATTGTTTACATTATAGGTTCATAGGTGAGTCAGTCTCGCCCTTAGCTCATTGTTTACATTATAGGTTCACAGGTGAGTCAGTCTCGCCCTAAGCTCATTGTTTACATTATAGGTTCATAGGTGAGTCAGTCTCGCCCCTAAGCTCATTGTTTACATTATAGGTTCATAGGTGAGTCAGTCTCGCCCTTAGCTCGTGTTTACATTATATGGGTTCTGGTGAGTCAGTCTCGCCCTAAGCTCATTGTTTACATTATAGGTTCATAGGTGAGTCAGTCTCGCCCCCTAAGCTCATTGTTTACATTATAGGTTCATAGGTGAGTCAGTCTCGCCCTAAGCTCATTGTTTATTATAGGTTCACAGGTAGGTCAGTCTCGCCCTTAGCTCGTGTTTACATTATAGGTTCACAGGTGAGTCAGTCTCGCCCTAAGCTCATTGTTTACATTATAGGTTCACAGGTGAGTCAGTCTCGCCCTAAGCTCATTGTTTACATTATAGGTTCAGGGTGCAATGTCTCATGAATTTTAATACCTAGTTATTTGATAAAATTTTGACTTTACCATCTTCTAACACCCGTCGTTCCCCCCAGAGTTCATGTGCGGCAGTGGTCGTTGTGTCGAAAAGGGCAGACTGTGTGATGGCTTCGACGACTGTGGTGACGATTCTGACGAAGTTTTGTGTAGTGAGTACCCCCCCCCCTTCTGGTGTGTGTGTGTGTGTGTGTTGGTGTTATACCAGAAGACCCTCACAGTGGTACCAACATGACTGATACCTTGGTTCATATCTTACTTACTACCTGTGCTTAATTAAGGCACAATTCTCTTCTATTGAACACTCTACCTGCTTTTAGATACTTAAGAAGAAACAAGTTACTTTAGATCACCTGAAGATTAGCCCCCAGTTTATTTCACCCTAGGATTATCCACATTAACGTTAACCTAACCTAACTTATCCTAACCTAACCTAACCTAACCTAACCTAACCTAACCTATCCTAACCCATCCTAACCTAACCTAACCCAATATAAACAAACTTAACCCAACCAAACCTTAAAACTAATACCCCCAGGTAGCGTTAGGGTGTTAATCATCAGGTGAAATAAGGTTAGGTGGGCTAATCTTCAGGTGGTTTCCTATATTATAAATTATTACGAAAAAATGTGACCACCAAGTATAGTTGATAGTTAATTCATATAAGTTATACAGTTGTGGACAAAATTCCCTGAACACTTGGTACTGTCTGGCATCTACCTCTGGGCAAGTCGGCACCACAAAACAAGAAAGAAAAACAAATGTAAAACAGAGAAAAAACAGTAGAAAATATGTCAAAATTCCAATCCCCTTCACCTAATGATCTTCACATGCAAAATACTGTCAAATGTCTAGGGAATTATGTCACCCAACTGTACATAAAACTAAAAATATATAAATAAATGTTTCAATGGCACTGGTTGGCGTTGCTCTCCACAGAACTGCCGCCCATGCCCGGTGGCTGTTACCCCGGCCAGTTCAACTGTTCGAGCGGCCACTTCTGTATCTCTCCCAAGTGGCGCTGTGATGGCGACTTCGACTGTCAGGACAAATCCGACGAAGCAAACTGTACTGTGAGGTGAGTGGTGAGGTGCAGGTGTTCATCTGTCAGGTGGGTGGTGAGGACAGGTGTTCATCTGTCAGGTGGGTGGTGAGGACAGGTGTTCATCTGTCAGGTGGGTGGTGAGGACAGTCATCTGTCAGGTGTTCATCTGTCAGTGGGTGAGGACAGGTGTTCATCTGTCAGGTGGGTGGTGGGTGTTCATCTGTGAGGTGAGTGGTGAGGGCAGTGTTCATCTGTCAGGTGGGTGGTGAGGACAGGTGTTCATCTGTCAGGTGGGTGGTGAGGACAGGTGTTCATCTGTCAGGTGGGTGGTGAGGACAGGTGTTCATCTGTCAGGTGGGTGGTGAGGATACAGTGTTCATCTGTCAGGTGGGTGGTGAGGACAGGTGTTCATCTGTCAGGTGGGTGGTGAGGACAGGTGTTCATCTGTCAGGTGGGTGGTGAGGACAGGTGTTCATCTGTCAGGTGGGTGGTGAGGATAAGTGTTCATCTGTCAGGTGGGTGGTGAGGACAGGTGTTCATCTGTCAGGTGGGTGGTGAGGACAGGTGTTCATCTGTCAGGTGGGTGGTGAGGACAGGTGTTCATCTGTCAGGTGGGTGGTGAGGATAAGTGTTCATCTGTCAGGTGGGTGGTGAGGACAGGTGTTCATCTGTCAGGTGGGTGGTGAGGACAGGTGTTCATCTGTCAGGTGGGTGGTGAGGACAGGTGTTCATCTGTCAGGTGGGTGGTGAGGATAAGTGTTCATCTGTCAGGTGGGTGGTGAGGACAGGTGTTCATCTGTCAGGTGGGTGGTGAGGACAGGTGTTCATCTGTCAGGTGGGTGGTGAGGACAGGTGTTCATCTGTCAGGTGGGTGGTGAGGATAAGTGTTCATCTGTCAGGTGGGTGGTGAGGACAGGTGTTCATGTGTCAAGTGGGTGGTGAGGACAGGTGTTCATCTGTCAAGTGGGTGGTGAGGACAGGTGTTCATCAGTCAAGTGGTGGTGAGGACAGGTGTTCATCTGTCAAGTGGGTGGTGAGGACAGGTGTTCATCAGTCAAGTGGGTGGTCTGTTCATCAGTCAAGTGGATGGTGAGGACAGGTGTTCATCTGTCAAGTGGGTGGTGAGGACAGGTGTTCATGTGTCAAGTGGGTGGTGAGGACAGGTGTTCATCAGTCAAGTGGGTGGTGAGGACAGGTGTTCATGTGTCAAGTGGGTGGTGAGGACAGGTGTTCATCCATCTATCTATCTATCTATCTGTCTGTCTAACGGGATCAAAAAGGTTCACGTTCTCCAAAGTAGGATTCTCATTATTTCTTCATTTATTTAGTAGGATCAAAGAGCTTAAAGTCCTCTGTATAGGATTTTCACTTGTTTATCTTACAGGATCTAATAAGACTTATAGACACCCGATGAAGGACTCGGTGTCTTCTATGATACAGGCTGATGGAAAATAAGAATGATTTTGTATGTTTTATTATTTCTTATTTACAAATATTTATCGTAGAACTTAAAAATAAATAAATAAATATAGATTATTCTTACCCTTTAACTTCATAATATACTTGTAAATGATCTGTGATGTTACTCCAGTGTACTAGATGTTTTGGTTCACCCTGTGTCTAACCATGAAAACAAATCGAACAGTTATCAAGGGTTATAAAAAAAAGAACTGTTTGTATTTGGTTTCAGAAATAAATTAAGATGGCAGACGTCAATTGTTCATGTCATGTGGACTTGAAGTTATTAATGAGTGTTGTGTGTTACAGCACGTGTCCGGCCTCTGAGCACCTGTGTGGGGACGGCCACTGTATTCATCACACGTGGGTCTGTGATAAGGAATTCGACTGTGATGATCGTTCGGATGAGTTAGATTGTCGTGAGTCTCTCTGTGTATACTGTACTGTGTGTTGTGTTGTGTTGTGTAAAGGGATCACCTGAGGATTTTAACTCCCCTAGTATATTTCACCGTAAGATTAACCACCCTTGTCTAACACTAACCTAACCTAACCTAACACGAAGCTAACTTATCCACCCTGATACTAACCTGACCCAACACTAAATTAACCTAACCACCTTGATGTTACTTAAACCGAACACTAAACTAACCTAACTTAAGGCTAACTTAAAATAACTTAACCGAACGCTAACGTAACCTAACTTAATGCTAACCTAATCTAAAGCTAATTTAACTATATGCAAACTTAACCTAACCTAAAGCTAATCCAACCTTATGCAAACATAACCTAACCTAATGCTAATCTAACCTAACCTAATGTTAATGCTAACCTAACCTAGTCTAACCTAACTCACATAACCTAATTTAACTTAACCTAACCTTACCACACCTCCCCTCTCCCCTCAGCTAGCGATAGGGGGGGGGATTAATTTTTATCAGGTGAAATAAACCGGGGGGGGGCGGGGGGCTTAAATTTCAGGTGATCTTGTTAAAACTAATTTCTGTAAATAATATACTTTTACAGTCTCTCTCTCTCTCTCTCTCTCTCTCATAACTTCAACTTAGATCGATAGAGTTTTCATATAGATACCTTGTCTTCGATGGCCTAAAAGAACGAACGCCTTAGTAATGAGCATGAAAGGAATATTACCAGTGTAGGATTTCTCTTGAAGTTACTGTACTACTAGTATAATGATGCCTCGAATGCCGTTTCTTTGGCTTCAAGAGTTATTATGTATTTCCTGTATCTTATATTGTTGTCGTTATTGTTGTTTTTAGTGTGTGAATTTTACCATTTTTTATTTATTTTTGTCTTAGTGTTAAAAGTTACATTGCGTCTTGTTAAATCTGGCCTTCTTGTGTGTCTTATTATTTAGCATAGGTTGAAAGTTACAGGGATTAAGGGGTTATTATCTGTTGTTAGTGGAGTGTGTTGATGGGGTGTTGTTAGTGGAGTGTGTTGATGGGGTGTTGTTAGTGGAGTGTGTTGATGGGGTGTTGTTAGTGGAGTGTGTTGATGGGGTGTTGTTAGTGGAGTGTGTTGATGGGGTGTTGTTAGTGGAGTGTGTTGATGGGGTGTTGTTAGTGGAGTGTGTTGATGGGGTGTTGTTAGTGGTTGATGGGGTGTTGTTGGTGGGAGTGTGTTGATGGGGTGTTGTTGGTGGAGTGTGTTGATGGGGTGTGTTGTTGTTGAGTGTGTGTGTTGATGGGGTGTTGTTGGTGGAGTGTGTTGATGGGGTGTTGTTGGTGGAGTGTGTTGATGTGGTGTGGGGTGGGATGGGGTTGTTGGTGGGTTGATGGGGTTGTTGGTGGGTTGATGGGGTTGATGGGGTTGTTGATGGGGTTGGATGGGGTTGTTGGGGTTGTTGTTGGTTGGGTTGGGGTTGTTGGTGGGTGGGGTTGTTGTTGGTGGGTGTGTTGATGGGGTGTTGTTGGTGGGTGTGTTGAGTGGGGTGTTGTTAGTGGAGTGTGTTGATGGGGTGTTGTTGTTGGAGTGTGTTGATGGGGTGTTGTTAGTGGAGTGTGTTGATGGGGTGTTGTTAGTGGAGTGTGTTGATGGGGTGTTGTTGGTGGGTGTGTTGATGGGGTGTTGTTATTGGAGTGTGTGTTGATGGGGTGTTGTTGGTGGAGTGTGTTGATGGGGTGTTGTTAGTGGAGTGTGTTGATGGGTGTTGTTGGTGGAGTGTGTTGATGGGGTGTTGTTAGTGGAGTGTGTTGATGGGGTGTTGTTAGTGGAGTGTGTTGATGGGGTGTTGTTAGTGGAGTGTGTTGATGGGGTGTTGTTAGTGGAGTGTGTTGATGGGGTGTTGTTAGTGGAGAGTGTTGATGGGCGTGTGTTGAGTTGTTATTATTAGCTGAACATTAAACTACCCTCACTCTTCTTGTTTGTCATTGGCTGATCATTAAGCTACCCTCACTTTCCCTGTTTGTCATTGGTTGAACATTAAACTTCCTTCACTTTCTTTGTTTGTCATTGGTTGAACATTAAACTTCCTTCACTTTCTTTGTTTGTCATTGGCTGATCATTAAACTACCCTCACCCTCCTTGTTTGTCATTGGCTGAACATTAAGCTACCCTTACTTTCCTTGTTTGCCATTGGCTGCACGTTAAACTACCCTCATTTTCTTTGTTTGTCATTGGTTAAGATTGTTGCATCTCCCCGACAGCCACGACGGACGAGACGACGTGTACGCCCGACCAGGTACAGTGTGAATCAGGGGGACGCTGTGTCATGGAGCACTACGCCTGCGACGGTGAGAACGACTGTGGCGATTGGTCTGACGAACACGATTGCAACATCACTACCTGTGCTCCCGACGAGTTCAAGTGAGTATAAGTATCAAGTTTGTCCCCGGTAACTTTATTAATTTTATGTATAGTTTCAGGTCACGTTTGTCCAGGTAGCCTTATTAGTTCTCTGGGGAATTTCAGGTTAGTACAGGTCACACTATTTCAGGTACTTCTATGTGTGTCCTGGCCAGCTTCAGGTTAGCATAGGACGAGAAAGGATTTTGGCAACCCTTCCGAGACAATAGGAGTCGCAGTGTTCATTTTAAAATTCATCGAAACCCCTCCGTAAAGATACCTTTTGGGGCGAGTGTATATACATTAAACCCTATAGTATACATTAACTACTAGTATACATTGTCTCCTGGTATGCATACTCATATACATTATCTCATAGAGTGACTTATGGTTACAGATGCCAGAGTGGGAAGTGTATCGAGCATAAGTGGGTGTGTGACTATATCGATGACTGTGATGACGGAGAAGATGAGGCGACCTGTCCTCATCCCTCTGAAGATGTGGTGAGTGACATAAGCCAGGTGAGGCCATGTGTGTGTGGTGTGAGGGAAGGGGCTGAGAAGGGAGGGAGGTTAGGGGTAGGAAGGGGAGAGGAGGAGAGGGAAGGAAGGGTAGGTGAGGGGAGAGGAGGAGAGGGAAGGAAGGGGAGGTGAGGGGAGAGGAGGAGAGGGAAGGAAAGGGAGGTGAGTGGAGGGAAGGAAGGGAGGTGGGAGGAGAGGAAGGAAGGGGAGGTGGGGGAGAGGGAGAGAGAGGTGAGGGGAGGGAAGGAAGGGAGGTGGGAAGGAGAGGGAAGGAAGGGGAGGTGAGGGGGAGAGGGGGAGGGAAGGAAGGGGGAGGGTGAGGGGAGAGGGAGGAGGGGAGTAGGGAAGGGGAGGTGGGGGAGAGGGAGGAGAGGGAGGGGGAGGTGGGGAGGGAGGAGAGGGAAGTAAGGAAGGGGAGGTGAGGGGAGAGGAGGAGAGGGAAGTAAGGAAGGGGAGGTGAGGGGAAGGAAGGAACGGGAGGTGAGGTGAGGGGAAGGAAGGAATGGAAGGGGTTGCAGGGTAAAGTGAGGTATGTTAAAATGCTTAGGGTGAAGTTAGGAGTCTAAAGTCTTGGAGATAAAGTTTAAAGTCTTGGAGATAAAGCTTAAAGTCTTGGAAATAAAGTTTAAAGTCTTGGAGATAAAGTTTAAAGTCTTGGAGATAAAGTTTAAAGTCTTGGAAATAAAGTTTAAAGTCTTGGAGATAAAGTTTAAAGTCTTGGAGATGAAGTTTAAAGTCTTGAAAATTAAAGTCTTGGAGATAAAGTTAGTCTTGGAGATAAGTTTAAAGTCTTGAAATAAAGTTTAAAGTCTTGGAGATAAAGTTTAAAGTCTTGAAATAAAGTTTAAAGTCTTGGAGATAAAGTTTAAAGTCTTGGAGATAAAGTTTAAAGTCTAGGAGATGAAGTTTAAAGTCTAGGAGATAAAGTTTAAAGTCTAGGATATTAAGAGAAGGACATTGGTTGAGTTGGAAGGAGTCACTTTAAGATGTTGAGTGGTGTATTCAACTAGGTAATGATGGTAGTTTAATGTAACTACCACACCACACCTCACTATACCACACTACACCACACTACCACACCACAATGCACTGCACTATGCCACACTAGACTACACTGCACCACACCACACTACCACACCATACTGCCATATGTCATTACAAAAATTGTGACCAAGTCCCAGGTTGCTGATCTGACTTTCTGCCTCATTTACACACAATTGCAGGGTCTCAATTGTTTCTCTTACTATTGACAACACAATATACATACAGTGTATCATTTCTCACTATTGATATTTTTATTTTTGTATTTATTTATGGCTCTTCATTATTACAGGGGATATTATTATTATTGTTATTTATAATTTTTATACATTTTTATTATTATTATTATTTTCTTTTATTATAATTGTTATTTATTTTATATATTTTTTTAAATTTTATTATTATTATTTTTATTTTTATTTTTATTATTTTTATTTTTATTTTTATTTTTATTTTTGTTTTTATTATTATTATTATTATTATTATTATTATTATTATTATTATTATTATTATTTATTTTACTATTTTTATATATATATTACATATTATTATTATTATTATTATTACATATATTATTATTATTATTATTATTATTATTATTATTATTATTATTATATATATATATATATATATATATATATATTTTTTATTTTTATTTTTATTTTTATTTTTATTTTTATTATTATTATTTTTCGTCCTCCAGGCCCCGATGTGGGTCAGTGACCTGTGCCCGGGTGGGCTAATACCCTAAAAAAGTAAAAAGAAAAAAAAACTTACACCACACTCCACTATCACGCCACATCACACCACGCTACTATACCGCACTATACCACTATACCACACCACACCACACAAGAGTATGCTTAAGAACTGCTAATTTAATTCACTCTTGTATTCAAACTACACCCCTTTCCTCCACTCCACTCCCTCTTTCCTCCACTACACTCCCTCTTTCCTCCACTACACTCCCTCTTTCCTCTCCACCCCTCCCACCACCTCTTCCTCCACACTCCTCTTACTCACTCCACTTCCTCACACAACCCTCTTTCCTCCTCCACCAAGCACCTCTTCCTTCCACCCTACCTCCTCCTCTTTAATTTCCCTTCTCTACTCCCACCTCCACTACACCTCTTTCTCCCACCTCACCTCCTACACCCCTCTTTCCTACCCACCTCCTCCACCCTACCCCTTCCCCACCTTCTCCTACCCACCTCCCACTGCCACTCTTCCCATGCAAAACCCGGTTTCTGCTATCCCTTTCTGCATGGCTCCTCCATTCACCACTTCCCCTAAGTCGTGCAGGACGCCCCAGCCAGGTGTGTCGCCCCACCTCCCAGTAAGTGGTGTGACGGGGAGGTGGACTGCGAGGACGGGTCAGACGAGTCCAATTGTCCTGTTACCTGTGGTCCCGGTCACTTCACCTGCGGGACTACTGAGTGTATCTCCCACAGCCAAGTGTGTGATGGACACCACGATTGTCTTCAGGGTGATGGTGAGTGGTAGTGTGGCTGGGGTAAGTGGTAGTGGGTGGTCGATGCTACAGTGATTGTGGTGGTGGGTAGTAGATGAAACTGTGATTGTGTTACTGGGTGGTAGATTGAGCAGTGATTGTGGTGGTGGGTAGTAGATGAAGCTGTGATTGTGTTACTGGGTGGTAGATTGAGCAGTGATTGTGGTGGTGGGTGGTCGATGCAGCTGTGATTGTGTTACTGGGTGGTAGATTGAGCAGTGATTGTGGTGGTGGGTAGTAGATGAAGCTGTGATTGTGTTACTGGGTGGTAGATTGAGCAGTGATTGTGGTGGTGGGTAGTAGATGAAGCTGTGATTGTGTTACTGGGTGGTAGATTGAGCAGTGATTGTGGTGGTGGGTAGTAGATGAAGCTGTGATTGTGTTACTGGGTGGTAGATTGAGCAGTGATTGTGGTGGTGGGTAGTAGATGAAGCTGTGATTGTGTTACTGCGGTAGATTGGAGCAGTGATTGTGGTGGTGGGTAGTAGATTGAAGCTGTGATTGTGTTACTGGGTGGTAGATTGAGCAGTGATTGTGGTGGTGGGTAGTAGATGAAGCTGTGATTGTGTTACTGGGTGGTAGATTGAGCAGTGATTGTGGTGGTGGTGGTATTGGTAGATTGAGCAGTGAGCTGTGATTGTGTTACTGGGTGGTAGATTGAGCAGTGATTGTGGTGGTGGGTAGTAGATGAAGCTGTGATTGTGTTACTGGGTGGTAGATTGAGCAGTGATTGTGGTGGTGGGTAGTAGATGAAGCTGTGATTGTGTTACTGGGTGGTAGATTGAGCAGTGATTGTGGTGGTGGGTAGTAGATGAAGCTGTGATTGTGTTACTGGGTGGTAGATTGAGCAGTGATTGTGGTGGTGGGTGGTCGATGCAGCTGTGAGTGTGGTAGGGAGTGTCGTATGTCAGCAAAAGTATAATGCCAGAGTGTGAAGGAGCAGTCTTATTGGTGAAGTATATTATGAACTGTGTGTCTCTACAGGATACATAGCAGTTCTGTAGCAATGGCAGGAAGTGACTGTATTGTGTATTATTTTCAGAAAGTGAATTATTGCCTTTGATTTATTAAACTTTTCTAAACACAAGTAATGATCACTATACTCTGGTGACACTAAGAATCAATCTTACGTCCCAAATGATTTTAGATACATTGAACATAAATAAAAAAAAATGTTTTATGTAGAAATGTAAAATGTAAGTAAGGAGTACTAAACTGTTCTGATTTACACGAATATTGTACATCAGTATTGAAGACCTTGACCCCCTCACTTACAGGTGCTGAGGGTGTAAGACGAGTGTCCCTCACGTGGAGTAATACACCACCTTGGTCATGTTGTGTTGTACAAACTAGACCAATGATTTATAAGTTTTATTTCTAAATGTTTATTCGTCCATAGGTCATTTTGAAGTAGGTTATCTTGTTTACTGCCGCTGATACATACAATACTCAACAGATGAAGCAGACTGCCAGATGGGAGAGGAGTGTGAGAACCTATCATGCTCGTACGCTTGTAAGGACATGGAGGAATCCTGCCTCTGCCAGCTAGGATTCACCCTCGCTGCCGACAACACCACGTGAGTACCCTGCCTCACCACACATGATTTGTTGCCAGTTTAAATAATTTGTTATCATCCAACAAGATCTGTCACAGCTACACGGGCTAACACCAGCCCCTTCTTGTATGAAAGGGGAAATTGTCTACCCAGCGCTGAGGGATGCCATCCAGGACAACAAGATGTGTTGTCATTGTTATATAATTTGGTTATGGTGGACTGAGGGGGAGCAGTGCATAAGGTGAGTTAACACTGAGTTAACCACAAGTGGTGACGACTCCTGCGTGTTAGAAGCGATCCTGTAAAGTGGCGTATAAAGACCCAGTTGTGGAGACTAGATTAGGATAGAAAACGGGAGTCAACGTAGCAGACATTCGTGAAGCTCTCTTTTTTTTTTGGAAATACAGCTGTTGCAGCTGCCTTTGACAGCCCAAAGTTTATTACAAAGTCCAGGAAGTCATAGTGCACGCGTAGGTGTAAATAAAATTTCTCTTGGTGGTGAACGTTGCCATT